TTCACATTTTCTACGTGTGCCAGTAAATGACAGCTTCTGTGAGAAAATCCTGCCGTGGCTGGACAAATCCGTTGACTTTATAGGTGAGGGCAACTCGTTGTTTATACAATCCCATCTATCTATCTGTCTATCTTATTTTTCTTTTTTTGTTTATGCAAATAAATTGTAATACATACTGGTCAACTGAAAAACAAACCTAGAGTTTATTTTCATGACTTACCAGCACGATATGTCTGATATTACTGTTTTCAGTGATTTGGCTTGTACACTGTATAGATAAAAAAATATTAGCTATTTTTGGTGGTTTATGAACAGGAATGCTTCTTTCTTCCTGTCCACCTGATCCTTTTGGTTGTCTGTCCTTGCAGAAAAAGCCAAAGCCTCTAATGGCCGTGTTTTAGTCCACTGTTTGGCCGGTATCTCTCGCTCTGCAACCATAGCGATTGCTTACATCATGAAAAGGATGGATATGTCCCTGGACGAGGCCTATAGGTAAAATATCTTGACCGCATGCTGAAATACTTTATCTATTTAAAAATGTAAAGTGCATTTTTTTTCGTGCAATCCTTCCAGAAGAGCATGCAATCAATGTATACCCTGAAAGGGGCAGAGTTGGGCAACACAGTAAATAAGAGCTTGGGAAGAATTATACCGTGTGAGATATGTAGAGTTACAAAGGCCAGTGAGTTACTGTTATGTAAAACAAACAAAAAATACGAATTCATGTGATGAAAATATAATTTATAAAAGAACGTCAACTTTTTTTTTTTATATTTTTCAGATTGAAATGTTAACAGTATATAAACGCATGCAGGGCCAGTACACAAAACTCTATTATAACCTGTATATTAACAGCAAAGCACATACGGTCACACATTTGGACTTTGAAAGGGGAGATTTCACCTAGGGCAAGGAAGAGGGTTCTTTACACTAAAACATATGTGAAATGATCTTACTAAAGAGCTGCTTTTCTAAGATTTTGTACAGATTTTTAAACAATATATGCATGCTTTGTTTTAGATGGAGCATATGAAGGGTAAAGGGGCAATCTAGGCACCATAACCACTACATGCTGTTGTAGCAGTGATGGAGCTTTTAGGCTACAGGCACAATGTCACAGGTGTGGGATATTGCTAATGCTGAAATGATACTTCTGCATTTACAATAGGCAAGTGGGGTACTGGGCTGCAGGTACCTTGAGAACCCTTGTTTTGGGCAAACCACTTAAAAATGGTGTAACCTAGAAGAGTTGGTCTACACCCTTAGTCAGAGGCTTGTCATGTTGACGGTGCTTAGACTAGTCCTCTTAATTTGTAGGGAATAAGTTTGTTAAACCACTGAGAAACTGGATTGTCATTTTGGAGTTAAAGTGTTACTCTAAACACCATGACCACTTCAGTGATCTTGGTGCCTGGAGTCAGGATTTGCAGTGTTTCGTTATGAAACACTACACATATGGAGATTAACCCCTCTGCTGCTGGATGTTTAATTCCACATCCATCAGTGTTATTGGGCATCATTAGCCAGCCCGGGAAGATCAGGCTGAGGGATAACTTGGCCTACAGAGGTAAGTTGTTGCTTGAGTTTTTTTTTTGTTTTTTTTTTTCCCTTTAGCCTGTATTACTTTGTGTAGATGATCCAATGTTACTAAAGGTGAAGACCCATTGCAAGTTTGAAAATTAACTGAATGTTGTCTTTGCCCACAGATTTGTGAAGGAGAAAAGGCCAACTATCTCTCCAAATTTCAACTTCCTTGGACAGCTTTTAGACTTTGAGAAGAAAATCAAAGCACAGACGGTGCAGGCAACTCCTGCCTGTAAACTAAAGCTACAGCTGGATATGGGTAACGGTGAGCAGTTGAGCTCTGCTGAGACCGTCCAACCTCCAAGCCCGCTACTAATGCACCCTACCTCAGAGCTGCAGCCTTATTGCTCCAGGAAGCAGCCAGTATATACCGAAGAGGCCCCCCTTCTTTTGGGCCTCAATGGACTTCATGTATCACCGGGAGAGAAACTTGAGGACAGCAATAAGATCAAGCGTTCTTTTTCGCTGGATATCAAATCTGTGCCTTATTGTGGATTAGCTAGCGTTGTCTCTATATCTTCTACTGCAGAGGAGAAAAAAGAACTCTACAAATCGTCTGCATCCATAGACAGTGGCAGCAAAATGTGCCAGTTCTCTCCGGTGGAGGAGGTGTCAGAGCAGACTCCTGAGACAAGTCCTGACCGTGAAGAAGCAAAGAATGTTGCAGAGAAACCCACTGTATGTGTTCAGTCGGAGAGCAAGCATAGGCAGAAGCCGCAACATGCAGTACAGAGTAGTGTCCTCTCCCAAAGGTCATTGACAAGCCCTCTGTTCCGGAGTGGGAGCATGGAAGACAACCGTAAAACAAACTATTTGTTTGGATTGTCCAGTAGCCAGCAGCACTTGGCCAAGTCTGGCATGGGCCTAAAAGACTGGCATTCTGACATCTTGGCAACACAGGCCACCTCATTGACAGGCAGCTGGTACTTCACTTCCGATTCTTCCACCCATTTCTATTCTGCATCTGCCTTGTATGGGGGAGGAGCCTTCACAGCTTATAGCTGCGGACAGTTGCCCACAGAACCCTCTTGCGCAGTGCGCAGGAGAGCAAAACCTAGTGTCCGTGGGGATTCTAGGCGTAGCTGGCACGAGGAAAGTCCCTTTGAAAAACAGTTCAAGCGCCGCAGCTGTCAGATGGAGTTTGGGGAAGGGCTGGTGGACAGTAGGTCACGAGAAGATCTAGGAAAAGTGGGCAGCCAGTCTAACTTTTCTGGCAGCATGGAAATCATAGAGGTGTCTTGAGCCTAAAGACAGGGTTTGATGGAATTGAAGCCAGCAAGCTGCGCTTCTCTGGTCTGTTGTGGTTTTTTTGTTTCATTCTTTTTTTTTTGTCTATCATTTATGTTCCCTGTAAATCTGAATCAAGGATTCACATAACAATTTTGCTGTAATATCAGCCACCATCAATTTATATATATTTTTTATTTACAGTACTTTGCTGCAAGGCAGCACATCACAACTCTGCACACTTACCTCTGTCTGCCGGCACAGCCGAGGCCTCTTTCCTCAAAGGAATACTCCCATAAATTTCACACCTCAACTTGAGCTCATATGCCAACCACAGTTTTTATAAATGTAGTGAGAAATGCAGTGTGCCTTGTCATGAGACAGATTGTGTGTTTGTTTGCGTATAATAAAATTTGAACCCCGGCTAATCTTAAAGTGGCTCTGTCACCTCAATGGTTCTTTACATGAATATACATGAAATGTATCCCTTATTACAATATTATGATGACAGACTTGCTAAATGTTCGGTATATGTCCTAGATTTCTGATGTGAGGTTTTCCTGGAACTTTTTTCCCTCTGTGTGGAATCTATTATGACAAAATAGAGTTTTGAATAAACACATTTAAAAACACCTCCGTATTTTTGGAGTTAGGTGTCAATAAGCACAAGCCTTAATATTTGCATCTGCTTCTCTTGAATCATACTTTTAAAGTTGCTTGATCACCTTTAAAAATGCCGCTTGGGCTCAGGGTTGCAGTAGACATGAGTTATACTTTCCTTATCTTCGATCCTTAACTCCTGGCACTTCATTTGCCAGGAGCCCATGTCTCGGCACATGCACAAGAGTACAACATTGATGTCTGTGGGGGGGGTCATGCTGGAACCTCCGTAAATGTTATCTCAAGATGAGCAAGACAAGGCCTTATTCTCCTAGCCGTCTCTAGTGATGGCTGTGGGAAGTGAAAAAACTTTATAGTGGTAGCTCTGCCTTTTTTTATTAAAAGATTTACCATAAACCATAAGCTAGTCGCTATTTTCTTTTATATCTTTTGACTGCGTTGAAATTTCAATGAAATTCCAACAAAGTCTTTATAAGCAAAGATTTTATCATTCTGATTTGCTCAATTTTATTGGATGACAGAGCCACCTTAACACAAAATCTACCTATGAGCTATTTTTTTATTTTAAATAAGTTTTGTAATGTTTTACCGGAGTTCAATCTTTTCCTTTAATATACTTAATGATGGTTGAGTGAATTGGCTCTTGCTGATGTAACAGGTTTATTTAGTTACTTTATTAATGTTTGCCGGAATAATCTGCAGTTAACACTCTGATCATTGACATTGTAAATCTGAAAGGATAAATGTAATTTAAGTATTTGTTTTGTGATGTACACTAAAAATCCAATAACTATATTCTAGAGTTTTTTTGTCTGCCTACAATTGGACCAGTTTTCATATTTTTACCTTCACCAGATCCTTATTCATTTTTTTTTTTTTTTTGAGAAAATTATCAGAATGGATGTAGCAAGACTTATGCACTCTGAGAAATCATTAAAACAATTATGCCTTTTTAGATCTAATTAATTTAAATACAAGCGGTGATTGTATGTACGTTGTAGACACAAGACCTGTTGGGGGATTTAAACATCAATATATTGAAGTACAAAATGTGAAAAGAAAAAAAAAAGCAGTAAAGAGGAACTCTCATTTTTATTTGTGATGATTTATGGTGAATTTGCTCAAGTAAATACTATTGATGTGTGGTTTTGTGGATAGAAAGTAATGTTTATACAACCAAATTGCATCTGCTTAAACCAAGTAACGTGTGCTGGGCATTTTTGAGTAACATATGTTTTACTCTTCTCTTTTTTTTATTTTTTTTTTATTTTTTATCAATCTACTCACTTTCCCATCATTCCTATTCTACTTCAAAGTTGTGTTAACACTGTAAAATAAGTCCACATGAACTTCACTCTGCGGTACTCAGAGTTTTTTTTTTTTTTTTTGTTTTTTAAACCGGTCAATTGTCCTGGATCCTTTTTGCCTATCCTATTAGGGACTAGAGATGTTGCGAACTGTCCGCCGAACTGTCCGGTGGCGAACAATAGCGTGTTCGCGTTGGGCGAACATATCCGATTTCCGGTCCGCCCCCTATACGTCATCATTGAGTAAACTTTGACCCGGAACCTCACAGTCAGCAGACACTTCCTAGGAGGGAGGGTCTGCTGCTGATTGGGTGGAATGTGTCTGCTGGCTGTGAGGTTCCGGGTCAAAGTTTACTCAATGATGACGTTTAGGGGGCGGACCGGAAATCGGATATGTTCGCCCAAAGCGAACACGCTATTGTTCGCCGGCGGACAGTTCGCGACATCTCTATTAGGGACCTCTTCATCTCTCCCCGTCTCATGTTTCTGTGAACACATGGTAAACCACTGAACGTGTGTCACAGTGCACAATTTCTACTCTTCTGAGAGAGGTCTTTAGGACTAATGTACACATAGGTAGCTATAGTTGACTGACTTGAATAGCGGTCTATATCATACCTCCCAATACTTTAGAGGTGTTTTATTTTTTAAAGGAACTTTGCAGGCAATAGGAAACATATAAATTAAGCTTACATACATTAAATACCCCAATTGGACCTTTTCAGGAGACTACAGTGTCAGAGAAACAGGAGATTTAAAAAAAAAAAAATGCTTCCAAACACTGTGTGCAAACTTCTTTCATATCATCTTGCTGGTGTAATTGTGTGTATTTATGTAGATCCACACTCGCCCACACATGGAAGATAAAGCTAAATACAATCCCTGATATAAAATATTAAATGATGATTTACATTACAATAAAGCCATAATTTGCTTATCTCACCTATGCATCAAAGCCTTGCTGTTTGGGCAAATTGTAACTTAGTATAATTCATAACTTATAGGGAAGGTGTAGGTTTAAAAAAAATGCATGTTTGTTTAATGTACCAACAAGGAAATTTTAAATAAATCAAAAGGAATAGTGAGAAATGTAAAAGGCCATATCCCTAAAAATTAAATGTCTTTTTGCAAGTTCTGCAGCTGTGCTGATCCATCCATTTTTTTTTTGCCAAGCACTAACTTATTTAAAAGCATTTTATTAGACACTACCCAGCAGATATTAGGAATATATATAATATCAAATTCATACATTCTATAATTGAAATAAAATACTCAGATCTGCAGTACTGGAACCTTTTAATTTCTTGTTTCAGACTTTCACATTAGAGGTTGTCTTTTACTAGCAGGCAATTAACACAGTGTTCACTTTTACAGTGTTTTTTTAAGACCGATTACACATATTGTTTTTAATATGAATTGTTAATTTATTGGTGCCAGGGCTGTATAAATTGATTTTACGCCTTAATGGCAAAGAATTTAGCGCGGAGTCTGAATTGGCATGAGCTATACGCCACAACTATTACGGTAATGTGGTTTTGGTGCTTACTTATCTGAATGAACTCAGATTCTTCTTGCCCTTCTGTTTCTTTTAGCAGAGATTAAATTGCATAAACACTTTTGGATATATGTTACAGTCCTCTTTGAACAACATCAATAGGACAGGGTGGATCCTTAATTCAGAGGTCTAAAAAAAAAAACACACTCACTCACACTCTCTCTCTCTCTCTCTCTTGTATTTGACAGGTAAATAAATTGTTTGTATTGTTGCAGGTACATATTATAATGGAGTCTTGGGAGATTCATTATGGGTCATTTCACAAAGGAACAAGTAAAAATAGTGAAATTGTATTTTTAAAATGGCAGGTCCGTTATGACGTAAGGAGAAAATGTGGTTTATTCAGGATGGGACTACTGCCCATACAGCCAGGACCACAATGAACCTCCTCCCACCATCATTGGTCGGCGATCAGATTTAATAAAAAAAAAAAAAAGAAATCCCGGATTAATTGGCCACCAAATTTGCCCGACCTTTTAACTCCCGATTACTTCCTGAGGGGATATCTTGACGAGCCGGTGTATGTGAACAAACCGCATACACTTGCGCACCCTAAGGAGAATATCCATGCAGAAATTTGAGCGCTATAGCTTCAAAAATTATACTAATGTTATTAATAGAGATGTCGCGAACTGTCCGCCGAACTGTTCGCGAACTGTCCGCTGGCGAACAATAGCATGTTCGCGTTGGGCGAACATATCCGATTTCCGGTCCGCCCCCTATACGTCATCATTGAGTAAACTTTGACCCGGAACCTCACAGTCAGCAGACACTTCCTAGGAGGGAGGGTCTGCTGCTGATTGGGTGGAATGTGTCTGCTGGCTGTGAGGTTCCGGGTCAAAGTTTACTCAATGATGAGGTATAGGGGGCGGACAGGAAATCGGATATGTTCGCCCAACGCGAACACGCTATTGTTTCGCCGGCGGACATCTCTAGTTATTAACAATGCAATCTAAAGATCCTGACTATGTAAGGCGGCAAATGGAGCTCACTTAAAAGATGTCATCTTCCGTACCTACTCAAACTAATCTCCATACTTTAAGCATTCAATGTATTTAATATCATTGAAATTGGATCATTAATAAAAAAAAAAGTTTAACTCTACTTGGAATTTTGTCCCAACCTGTAAATATAAATAAATAAAATATTGAGAGTGCGTCTCCCAATATTTTCATACTTCAAACAGTGCAGAAGCTGGTGCTAGCAGGGGAGAGTGAAAAGTAAAATGAATTACTTAGAGTGTTAGTCCAAAAAAAAAAAAAAAGGTATTAAAAGATATGAATTTTATGGTGTGTTTTTTTTATATCTGCATCACTGGAGTGATACGGCTACAATCTCTAGTTGAATACTAAATTACTAGTTAGGAATACTTTCACTCACGTTTCAATGTATTTAAATGTGATCAATACAATATTCTTGTTCCCTTGTCCCGTTTCATACATAAAGTGATAGGATTAATGTGATTAGAGGAACACTCCATGCACCATAACCACTATATCTCATTGTAGTGCTTATGATGCCAAGCGTGACATGGAACCCCCCCCAACCTCATTGTAAGAAGTCAAACAATTTGGGAATTGTTTGATTTCTTTACAGTTGTACACTGGGTACCACCACTCAAACCAACAGAGAACCGGAAGTTATTGCTCTCAGCCAATGAGTAAGTGCTATCTTAGGAGAGCTACTAGAAGCTCCTGCTTATGAGTTTCCAGAACTCCATTGTCTGTATTAGAGGCAGGGAACAGCACCCGTTGATCTCAGGTAAGGTGTCAACTGTTCTAAACCAGCTTGCTTAAAATAGGAGGTGTGTTTGACACCCCATAACAACACCAACAAGCTGTTTTGTGAGAATCGGTAATGTTTTTACATTTGTTCATCCCTAATACTTCCATGTAAAGACTTCAATAACTGAAAGCCTTCATGATGCCAAACTCTGATAGATCTTCTGGTAGGGAAGCACTGGGGTAATGCTTCTCTATATCAAGTTTGGATACCCTTACCTGCAAACCCCAGAGTTAAGCACATGGGTGTCCGCAAGGGGGTTAAGTAAAACATTTTTATGAACCGGGAACTAGCAATTGGCTTAGAGAATCACTTTACCACTCTAGCCAATATGCAGCACCCATGCCTGACGTCAATCTGCACTTCCTGACACTCCGTTTCAGAAGCCGGATACCACTGAACGATCTGGACCTGGAGGAAGCCTTTGGGGTTAAACCATTTGAGAGCGGTTTTACCCCTTAAAGGAAAGAGCACCCAGAGGCTTCCTGCCATCATAGCATTTTCATTAAGATGAAGTTGTTATGGTGACCAGAATGTCCCTTTAATTTGCTTAAAGGAACACTATAGTGTCAGGAATACAAACGTATTCCTGACACCATAGTTGTGAAAACGCTATTCACCCTGGCTTTATGTGATAATCACTATGCCCCTTCCCTTTCATGACACTGTCAAAAAGAACCAAGCATGGATGTCATTACAATTATAATTCCCTCCCCAAAAATAGTACCCATATCCACCTCCCCAATAGTACCCCATTACCCCCATAGAGAGTACCCATACCCTACTCCCCATAGATAGTACCCGTATCCCGCTTCCCATACTACCCCAATCCTCCTCATAGAGAGTATCCATATCCCTCTCCCCATAAATAGTACCCCATCTCCTCTTCTCATGAATAGTACCCCATCTCCTCTAAACTTTATAAAATACAAATAAGTAAATAAAAAAACGTAAAAATAATAAAATTTTATTCTAACTGTATTTTGATTTTATATATTTATATCAAAATACACTTAGAATGAAATTATATATACATCTATGTATGTCAAAATAATACGAAATATATATATATAAATATACAAAATTTAGACAGGTACTGATTCTCCTAATTTCCCCCACTCCAGCCCTATCTCAGCCAGCGATAATGATCCCCTGTACCTGATTGGAAGCCTTATGAAATCAGTGTCCTGCCTGTACTGCTTATCAGGCAGCTCTGTGGGGCTTGCCCTTTGACTCATGGTGTCACTTCCCCCGCAATGAGCCGCACGGAGCTGTCTTGAGCAGTACACCAGGCAGCATGCATGCAAGTCCTGGCGGCTGCGTTCTATCACCCGACAGAGGTTCTGCTCATAGTGCCTCTGCCTGGTACATTACAGCCAAGGGCCCCCTTTGCACTGGGGATCTGCGGGCTGTATCGGCTGCCAGGCACCCTGTGCGGCCAACACTCTGATTACACACCCGTAAATCCGGCCCTGAATAGCACATTTGAATGGCCTACCAGGCCCACTGGGAAATTTTCCGGTATTCCAGTGGGCCAGTCCAGCCCTGGCTGTAACTGACACAAAATGGTTTCATTTTCATTCAGATGTTACTTACTTTCAAAGGTTTTTTTTATCTCCTGTTATGTAATTTGAGCTTTAATTAAGAAATTTTAAATTAAACCAAATTTCCAATAAAGAACTGTAATTATTAGATGACTCTTTACAGGAAGTGTTTAGGAAGGCTGTGTAAGTCACATGTAGGGAGGTGTGACTAGGGCTGCGTAAACAAAGGGATTTAAATTGTAAATGTCAGAAAATTGAGCAGTGAGACTGCAGGGTCATAATCTATACACAAAAACTGCTTCATTAACCTAAAGTTGTTTTGGTGACTATAGTGTCATTATATGGACTAGCAATAAGTCCCAGGTAGAAAAATGAAAATTTCCAATGAATATATTTATCAAATAGCCTTAACCCGTTAACGACCGATGACGTTTCAGGACCGTCATAACGGTATTATGTACTTACCCAATCGCCGTCGTTCCCCGGCCATTGGCGTTGCTCCCATTGTGGGGAGACTGCCTGAACCCCCAGGCAGTCTCCCCTCGGCAAATTAGGACTCCGCGGCCATGTGATCACTAAACTGAGCGGTCACATGGCCGCAATAGGTGTCCAAGTATCTGCCTGCAGGGGGACTGCCTGTGTAAAATAAAAATAAAGTTAATAAATAAAAATATAATTTATCTTATAAAAATACACTTACTATGACATTATATATTGTGTATATATATTATAAAATACAAATAAGTAAATTAAAATAAATTAAAAAACTTAAAAATAAAATTTAAAAATTATATATATATATATATGAAATTTTATTCTAACTGTATTTTGATATTATATATTTATATCAAAATACACTTAGAATGAAATTATATATACATCTATGTATGTCAAAATAATACGAAATATATATATATATACACAAAATTAAATAAATAATTTCATAAATATACATGTAGACTTCAAATATATAAATATCTATATATACACTGCTCAAAACAAATAAAGGGAACACTTAAACAACATAATGTAACTCCAAGTCAATCACACTTCTGTGAAATCAAACTGTCCACTTAGGAAGCAACACTGAGTGACAATCAATTTCACATGCTGTTGTGCAAATGGGATAGACAACAGGTGGAAATTATAGGCAATTAGCAAGACAGCCCCAATAAAGGAGTGGTTCTGCAGATGGTGACCACAGACCACTTCTCAGTTCCTATGCTTCATGGCTGATGTTTTGGTCACTTTTGAATGCTGGCAGTGCTTTCACTCTAGTGGTAGCATGAGACGGGGTCTACAAATCACACAAGTGGCTCAGGTAGTGCAGCTCATCCAGGATGGCACATCAATGCGAGCTGTGGCAAGAAGGTTTGCTGTGTAGTGTAGTGTCCAAAGCATGGAGGCACTACCAGGAGACAGGCCAGTACATCAGGAGACGTGTAGGAGGGCAACAACCCAGCAGCAGGACCGCTACCTCCGCCTTTGTGCAAGGAGGAGCACTGCCAGAGCCCTGCAAAATGACCTCCAGCAGGCCACAAATGTGCATGTGTCTGCTCAAACGGTCAGAGATAGACTCCATGAGGGTGGTATGAGGGCCGACGTCCACAGGTAGGGGTTGTGCTTACATCCCAACACCGTGCAGGACGTTTGGCATTTGCCAGAGAACACAAAGATTGGCAAATTCGCCACTGGCGCCCTGTGCTCTTGACAGATGAAAGCAGGTTCATATTGAGCACATGTGACAGACGTGACAGAGTTTGGAGACGCCGTGGAGAACGTTCTGCTGCCTACAACATCCTCCAGCATGACCGGTATAGCAGTGGGTCAGTAATGGTGTAGGGTGGCATTTATTTGGGGGGCCGCACAGCCCTTCATGTGCTCGTCAGAGATAGCCTGACTGCCATTAGGTACCGAGATGAGATCCTCAGACCCCTTGTAAGACCATATGCTAGTGCGGTTAGCCCTGGGTTCCTCCTAATGCAAGACAATGCTAGACCTCATATGGCTGGAGAGTGTCAGCAGTTCATGCAAGACGAAGGCATTGATGCTATGGACTGGCCCGCCCGTTCCCCAGACCTGAATCCAATTGAGCACATCTGGGACATCATGTCTCACTCCATCCACCAACGTTACTTTGCACCACAGACTGTCCAGGAGTTGGCGGATGCTTTAGTCCAGGTCTAGATGCTTTAGATCCCTCAGGAGACCATCCACCACCTCATCAGGAACATGCACAGGCTTGTA